AGCGATATTCTCAAAGTGAAAAATGATGTTGTACAAAAAGCGTACATGAAAGCTGTCAAATGAAGGACGGCAAAGAAGCAAGACTTTCATGATGGAGCTCCAGTTGAAATCCCACAAGAAGGCTCCGCACTACAGGGTGTATCAAAAAAAGTAAGACAATTTTGAAATTGCTCTCAATTCCACAATTCTGTTCATGAAATGTAATTTTTGCTATATATGGATTGCTTGAGTTCTTAAATTATGGAAAATATAAAAAAATTTGAAAATAGTACATTTTGCTATCCAGGGGGGTGGTCAACTTTTGCTCCCCTAAAAGTGGCTTGCGCACGGAAATGACAAACGGTATTCTTTATTTGAGTTCATGTATTAAAAGTTCGCTATTTGTTGCATTTATGATAAAATTTCGGCAGGATTTTACCGAGTACAAATCCTCTGAAAAGCCTATGAAAACGTTACATTTTTCTCTGTTGGTGCTGTTCTTGCTTCATTATAAATTCATTTTTACTCCCATGAGAGTTCCATGGAATTTCCATGGAATTTGTGCTTTCGAGTTGTTTGTGCTGAAACGCATTTTCTCGTATAATACCCCGTACACTTTGAAATGGCGATGCCACAATTTACCCCGCAGCAGAGAGCTTTTATGCATGGTATCAGAGTTCCTCCGTAGCAACAACATAAACTTGGTTCGCCAAAGTTTCACGAACGAATATCCAGATGTACGATGCCCTTCACGTATTCGCATGTGAAGAGCATCGTTACATCTGGATATTCTTTCGTGAAACTTTGGCGAGGATGACCGCAATGGAGTAGAAATAGTAACAATAAATTATAGAAGCACCTGTCGCACTTAATTAACACACCTTTTTTTAGAGTGTATATATATATATATATATATATATATATATATATATATATATATATATATATATATATATATATATATATATATATATATACAGGTGATCTCGTGTTCGTATTTTAGCCAATCAGCGCTCAGAAAGGGTTGTCCGAATAGAAATCCATTTTGATGTATTCAGTCAATTATATCTTTCATTATTCTTTATGAAACTAGTTGAAATTTTGTAATTATGTTTGGTTATGAGAACTATTATAGCTCTGACAAAATATGGAATCGAAATAAAGTATATTACAGGAGATATTCAGTTGTTTTAATCATAAA